AACTTCAGGCTGTTCAGCAGAACTTTATAATGGTCAGTTAATCTTGAAGCTGAGAAGGTTGCTTAGAGCTTTCAATGAGAGCATGATCACATCAGCCGATTGGATCGTCAGTCTCCAAATAAGAATGCTTGGGTACACATAGGAGATTTTGATATGAAATTAAGTAAAAGACTGCAGTGCTCTCAGGGAAGCCAGTGCAGTACCCAGTGGATCATCAGTGAAAGGTAACTAACCTGTTCAACATCTACAAGGGCAATATTCATCAGGTGGAACGGCACAGCTTTCCAAAAAGCTTTCGGTAGCTCTTCCCAATGCCCATTTACGGAAAAGTTTTTTGACTCACTCTAAAAAGACTCGGAGTACTTAAAAATACTATTTGGAGTAATGGAGATTCTAAAAAGTAGTACCAAAAAACTTAGGTTATTCAAGGGTATATACCTACGGGTATAACCCTTGGATAACCTAAATTAACTTACGTGGGTTATACCAATAGCTGTTGTATCCTTCAAACGAAATGGTTCACGTTGCCAGGGGGCTGTCGGTAATCGCTTGCAATGTCTCAAATTCGTTTCAAACTCATCCTGAAATCATTATTAGGAGGAGTTTACAAATGAACTTACAAATTCAAACTCTGTACCTCTATAGTAACACTTTTGTAGAGACCTTTCCCAGGTTTGCTAAGCGATTGGTACCTCAAAGTAAGGTTCTGCGGATGGATGATCTAAATTATCACAGTTTCTCTACATACGAATTGTCTTGTAAACAGTTATGGAAGAGAGGTAAACAGAAAAGTAAACAAAAACAAGTATGGGTGCTGATAAGCTAACTCCGTAAAAGCTGAGGTGAGTTTCAAGGAGTCTCAGCACCCTAATAAGTTTGAACTTTTCAAAACACTTCAGAGGCTTTCCCATTATTCCCGAAAAAGGTAACCTGTAAGCCAGGCACTTTTTTTGAAAAAATTGCTGATTACTCACCACATCTAAAGCCCAAATCCTTGTTTTCAGTGGGCGCCAGATTATATCTGACCATTGGGGATAGACAGCAGCCAAATTGGCCAGTGACGCTAGATCCATATATGAACATATAATATAGATAATATCATGATTCAACTG